CGCGCGCGTTACGCGCGCGCGCCGCGCGCATGTAACGCGCGCGCCTTATTTCGCGCGTAACGCGCGCGCGCGTAACGCGTTATAACGCGCGCGCGTAACACGCGCGCGCGCGTAACCCGCGCGCGTAACGCGCGCGCGCGCGTTACAGTTTTTACACTTTAAAAAGATGAAAAAGTATAGCTTAATAATATATTAATCTCGTCTTTAGGTTTAGCAAGCAACAAGTTGTTTTACCTGTTAGTTTAGAATTTTTCTATGATCATCACCCTGTTTCGAGGAGCCCAGGTCTCCCACCTAAACCTAATTGAGGTACTTATACCTGCAGACTTTGATACTAATAGGACGGATGATGTTGAGTATCCTATAGTAACTGAAGACCTCGACATGTTTTCGTAGTTCTTGTACTTGTAGAACAGTACAACAAGTGTGGAGAGTTCTGCTACTCTAGGATTCATGTCGTGACACCTTGTCATTGAATAATTTTTTCTTATAATCGAAGTTGTCAGTGAAACTGCATGAGGGTCTTGTTCCTGATATTGAAGTGTTTTTCTTCTCTACATCATATGAGCGGGTATTTGACGACGACGACGACTACGTCGCACCCTTGTGCCTGGGTTTTAAGTTTGTTAAGATGACTGACAATCAAATTGTAATAAATAATTTTTATCCAGTATAGTCTTAGTCCTAGTCCTCTCAGGTCACCCATCTTCCTCGGAGTCGAGCAGGTGCCGGCGCTCGATGCGCATGATCCATACCCTAACCTAACCTCAGAGGTTGCATCATGATAGATTGAACGAATCGAACATGCGTAGAAACAACATGCTGATGAATAGAGTACGTATTCAACGAACTACAAGAAGTAGTCAACTCAAAGAAATTGTTGTTTGCGAAACTCTAAGGTCGAAGATCGCAGGTCGCGAGACTTTCATGATAATCGTCTTTCAAAAAGTCCCATCCTTGGCAGTTACGTCCAAATGCGTAGGAAGAAGAAGATTGCAGGAGCAAAAAATTTTTTAGTTCATGCTATTTATCTTCAAGTGTCAAATTTTGCAGATCATAGATGTCGAAGCTTTCAATTAAGAACGACTGCCACGTGAATTGAATGATTGTCTGGCCGCTGAAAGAGCATAATTTTCGTGTATTGCATTGGAGAGTCCAATAAAGTTGAGTAATCTGCTCTGCTAAAATCAGATAATGAATTCAGATTTACATACTCACAGTCACAGCACGTCATGTCTACGCGTGTTTGTCGTGAACAAGATGCGATACTATTTATCTCACTGACAACTTGAGCAGGAGCCGAGATTTGCGTCCATCAGGTCCTGGAAAACGCCGCTGAAGAGCAAATGAAATGACATGACAGCACTACAACACTCAATATTAATGTTGAGAGATAGACGAGGAAATATATGGAGAGAGAGGAGCGAGAATAATACTCTATTTAAATACTATTAAAAATCCCCGAACACTCTTCGCCTTTAATGTGAACACTAAAGGACCCCTAAGACGCCTTTAATGTGAATGCTAAAGGACTCCCCTCCCCTTTACTGTGAACACTAAAGGACCCCTAGAGCGCCTTTAATGTAAACACTAAAGGACCCTTAAGGCGCCTTTAATGTAAACACTAAAGGACCCCTAAGGCGCCTTTAAAGTAAACACCGAAGGCCTTCCATGTGAGCAGCAGATGGCCTTGAGGAAGAACAAGAACAGCAACAACAGCAAGAACAACAAGAACAACAAGGACAGCAAGAACAGCAAGAACAACAACAGCAAGAACAACAAGAACAACAAGAACAACAACAGCAAGAACAACAAGAACAACAACAGCAAGAACAAGAAGAACAACAACAGCAAAAACAACAACAACAACAACAACAAGAACAACAACAACAGCAGCAACAACAAGAGCAACAACAAGAGCAACAACAAGAGCAACAACAAGAGCAACAACAAGAGCAACAACAAGAGCAACAACAAGAGCAACAACAAGAGCAACAACAACAACGACAGCAACAGCGACAGCAACAACGACAGCAACAACGACAGCAACAACGACAGCAACAACGACAGCAACAACGACAGCAACAGCAACAACGACAGCCACAACAACAAAACAACAGCAGCAACAACAAAGCAGCAACAACAAAGCAGCAACAACAAAGCAACAGCAACAGAGCAACAGCAACAAAGCAACAGCAACAAAGCAGCAGCAACAAAGCAACAGCAACAAAACAGCAGCGACAAAACAGCAGCAGCAAAACAGCAGCAACAAAACAGCAGCAACAAGACAGCAGCAACAACAGCCACAACAGCGACAACAGCGACAACAGCGACAACAGCGACAACAGCGACAACAGCGACAACAGCGACAACAGCAACAACAGCAACAACAGCAACAACAACAGGGCAGCCACGAGAATAAGAAAATTCTAGAGGTGTTTAGCGTTTAAAACGCAGCAGACTCCACCTTGTTCCCCTATGTTGTATATAATAGGGAGCCCGATGTCTCATCTGAATCCTGAACCCTGAACCGAGATCCCGCTTCCCTTGGTGTTCCCTCTATATGGCAGGCGACTCGATGTCTCATCTGAATCCTGAACCCTGAACCGAGAACCCGCCTCCCTTGATGTTCCCCCTATATGGCAGGCGGCGCGATGTCTCATCTGAATCCTGAACCCTGAACCGAGAACCCGCTTCCCTTGCTGTTCCC